TGAACAAAATGTTACCTTAATTCACATGATCACACTTAAGTTTCTGAAACCATAACGGGAACTGAAGGCTCCACTCTCTCTGCATCACGAAAACCTCCATCTCCAAACTGCCAAAAGCCTTGGATAAAAGCGGGAACAAAAAAAAAACAAAACGAGGATGTCCTCCAATCCTCACTCAAAACATTAATAATTGAAGCATTTACTGCCACAAAACAGATAACAAACTGCTACATTTTCTTCATAACAAAGGACGAAAACAGAATACTTTACAAATTCGACGTGAATTTGGACATAACGCTGAACCACTCTTGAAAGCTGCTCCAACGAGAATGAAGAAATTCTATTAAAATTGAACGCATACATACAAACGCTGACATAACAAGACACCACGAAACGACGTACATATCCTTTTGCGCCGCATTAAAATTGCGACTTCAAATAAAACAAGAATTTGCCGAGGAAGTTAAAATAAATAAACAACTCTAAAATGGTTTATTTCAACTTGGCCGACCTAAGAAAGAAATGAAAAGATATTTGGGTTTAAATACGTACGAAATATTTTTTAGATATATCAAAAATATATAAGGTGATTTTAATATTTCGTATAAGAGGGGACTTCAATATACTTAAAAGAATCAATGAAATTGAAAATGCTACAACCGTATTTAATACTCTAAGTATTTATATGACAGTCTGCTCAATGTCCTTTCCGCCAACACCAATATTACCATTTAGTTTCAGATGTCATTATTTGTGTCTTGCTCATGTTAGTTTGACTTCCAAGGAAGCGTGATATAATTTTTCCGACATTACTATTGCATCACCCATACAATAGGCTATAAAGACGATGTCATCTGCGAATCTCAAATGACAGATTCTCTATTTATCTTGATATTATACGCGTTCACATCTGCCTTATTACAAGTATGATCTAAATCTGTATACAGAATTTATTTGTTTCTTGTTCAGATAGTCTTACGACTGCCGTGTCATTTTGGTAGATATGTTGCAATATGTTGTGTAGCAGAGGCCTATTCGACATTATGTCAATGCTTTTAACATTTTTTTCTATTTTATAGTATTGAAAACTAAAATAAATCTATTGCGACTCTTATACTTTGAAAAAGTAAAATTTTAAATTTGACTTGTGTGTTCTCTTTCCAAAAGGTAATCCTAGACATTTCTGAATGACTTTGTGCAAGTATTTCGACAGCATATAAATTTGTATTTGAAATAATCAGTTCATAAAATTCGTTATTGGCTATCAGGTTAAAATAGTCTATAGCAGGGGTTCCCAACTAAATTTTTCCAAGGACTCCTTCATCAAGGTACTACAATGACGAGGACCCCTACTATTTCCTAAAGACCTAAACAAACCTAAAGTTACCTGAAAAGAGCCAAAATATGTGAAAACATAAATCAAACTAATGCTATTTAGGATTTATTTGTGAAAATACAGAGTACGTACACAAGTACATTATTAGTTTTAATTTTCACTCCTCAATTAATGGGATACGTTGAATTTAACCTTAGAATCCATTATTTCTGTAATGTTAGGTTCCAAACTTGAAACTTGCACTCTGAAATCCGACCGCATATCAAGCCGATTCCTATATTTGTTTTTCATGAATCACATGGAAGAAAATGCCTGCTCACACCGATAGGTTGTTGCAAACGGAAGGATTTTTTTTCATGGCCTTGTCTCAAAGTTCTTTGTAATTCTTGCGTGCTGTTGCCCAGAAGTCTGCTATTTTCTCGCCATTAAAAATGTCCTTCATCGTACCACAACTAGACAAATCCACAAGCTTATCTTGTTCTTCTTCTGTGAGGCCTTGGATTTGTTCAATTGCTTGACAGCTGAAAGGATTTCGAAGTTAACCATCGTCAGGGTCAGTTTCAGGGAGTATATCCTAAAAGTCGTGGCTAGGCTGCGTAGGTGCTCGGCTGCGTTGATCTTTATCCGGTCAGGTAAACTCTGCTCTACAGACTCCAAGAACTGTTTCAAATTAGGAAAGTTAGTGAACGACTTGTTTTCAATCCTTGCAGCCCACAGCTGGCACTTTTTTACCATAGCACTGTTGTTATCTTCAACTTTGAACATGTCTACATTTTTCCCTTGCAAACTTAAGTTTAATACATTCAAGTGTTCAAACACGTCAGCTAAGTAGGCAGTTGAGCAAAGCCAAGAAAAGTCAGTGAGAACTGCGTACTTGGTGTCAAGAAGAAAAACACGAACTTCATCTCTAAGTTCAAAAAATCTTGTCAATATCCTTCCTCGAGAGAGCCACCTTACTTCCGTATGAATAAGAAGGTGTTCATGCTCACTGCCAATCTCTTTGCGCAACAAAGAAAATAATCTGGATTGCAGAGGTCGAGTTTTAATGTAGTTAACGATTTGAACTACTTCGTTAAGTATCTTCTGCAAAGGTTCAGGCAATGTTTTGGCATGTGTGTGCATTTCACCTCAGGAGCTACTGCTTTGACACGAGCTTGAAGTCCTGCTTTTGTGGCCAGCCATTGATTTTGCTCCATCCGTAGACAAGCCCACATATTTTGTCCATGTGACGTCATGTTTAATGAAAAACTCATTCCATGCAGTAAAAATATCTGCTGCTGTTGTGTGAAGTAGTTCGCATGAAAAAAGAAAATCTTCCAATATCTGGTCCTCCCACAAAAATCGAACAAAACTATTGTTTTTTTTGATATGTCGGTGCTTTCGTCCAATTGAAGAGGAAACATGTCGCTCATGCTAAGTCTGACCAGCAATGTATCTTCAATGTTATTGGCCATATCTGAAATTCGTCTTTGGACAGTGTTGTTAGAGAGCAGAACAGTACTTATTATCTTAACAGCCGCATCACCCAACATTCTCTTGCATAGAAATTATTGCTGATGGTAGTATAAGTTCTTCAGCAATTGTATGGTTTTTTTTTCCACATTTATCGACAAGCTGAGATACCTCATAAGATGCAAGGTTGCATTTTCATTTACATTTGCACCATAGTGTTTAGTAATGTTTTTACGAGATCTTTTAAGCTGTCCTAGTTTGTTTTTAAACAAAAATCGAATGACTTACTCTTGTACTCTGGATGTTTTGTCTCAAGATGCCGACGGAGTTTTGCTGGCTTCATACACTCATTCGAAAGGCTTTCGTAGCAAATTACACATTGAGGTTTAGGCTGCTGCTCAGGGCCAGTGAACGTGAAATCCATTTCCAAGTAATCAGAGTTGTATTTTCAAATTTTTGCAGCACTGATCTTGGTCGAATTACGTTTAAGAGACGCCGACGAGTTGGGTTCAAGAGACACTGACAAGTTCGGTTTGAGAGTCATTGACTTTTTAACTTTAACATTAAATGCATTTTCTCCCTCTTCGTCTGTAGGTCTATAAAACTGTCGTTTTAACGTTCCACATTTTAACCAACGGTCCATAACGTACGCGTAATGTTACTTTCCGTGAAAAACAAAGCTTTAAAATGTTGCCCAAAATCACACGTTTCAACACGGTCAGGGACCGCACTAGCAATGAACTAACTAACTTACTAACAATGCCGACTGACATCTCTGGAATGCGAATTGGCTGTGTAACTGTAATGTAAACAGACAGCGACAGCGACGCATTTTAACGGCATAAAGCCAAAGTATGGTACCATCTAGTTCCAGTGCCAGTGGTGGTGAAGAGGGGAGGCCGAATCTGTCTTACACGAAAATATTTTTTTTAGGTATATAAACAAAATTATAGTTAACAATCTAAAATTTGATATAACTTTAAGTTTGCGCGATATATGTTATTAATTTTAAAGATTTAGAGAGAAAAACTTTGTTTTCGCTCTCCTAAAAAAAATTGCAAAATGGACTTATATCGTTTTTCTCCCTGGCTCTTCATATATTTATTTTTATATCTTGCGGACTATAGGATCATTTTCACTTGGATTCACTTAACATCCGGCTATAACAGTAAATGATATTTAACGATGCTGTCGTACTTCTGGAGACGGTATAATTTGAGCTACTTGCTTTTTTTGTTCATTGATTGCTGCTCAATTTGATTCGTAAATCTCGTTCAACATCGCTTTCAGTAATATCGCTATTATCTTGTCACTCACAATCACTTCCACTATTCATTACATCATCATCGTCAGATGCTTCTAATAATTATTGTAATTCAGCAGTGGTCAGTTTACGCTAATGTATTATGTCCAGTTTACGCTTATGTCCTCTTTTAGACGTCGAAGGCGCATATTTACATCCATTTTTTACTTACACTAGTACTCACAGCCACTTTAGAGATAACTAACCACCAAAATGTACTACTACAGACCTCCTACCACCAGTCGCCGAACTATTCGTATCAAACAATCATCGTCGTGTAATTCACTAAATTTGTGCTGCCATCTATCAGGAATAACGACATACGCGATGGCAATGCCACCACTGTCTAAAAACTGCAGATTCTCTTCTAAACCCCGTGATCCGTTGTATAGTTTTCTACGTAATAACCATTAAAAGTCGAAATGAAATAACTACAAACTCTGTTTTTCTAGTTACTTAGGACCATATAAATCTAGACACCTATCATGTCTGAATTACTTCTTTTTTGAACAAAAAAAAATTCAAATGCATGTTTAACTAGGAATAAATTGTGTGTTATTCTATGTGCCAGTTCATTTTTGTACCGCGCGCTAGGCGTTTGCTGGCACATGACAATACTTACATGAATGCGCTAGGCGCGATGTCAGAGATGAATTTGACCAAAACGTACTGCAACTTTTCAACACTTTTCACAGTTATGTTTACTCAAATTTTGCTTATTTAATTTATCATTAATAGACATTCTATTGACGCTAAGTTATTCCTTCATTCATTCAAATATTTTATTAGTATAATAGCTTAGTTAGAATGTGCATATTTTTCTGAATATCTAGTATTGGCAGATATCACCTTTATATTATTTTATATAATAGAAAATTTATATTAATATACTAAATTGGATTTTTTTAGGTGAAGAAGGAATCATGAAGTCCAGTCCCGATGAAACAAAAAAGCTGTTGGGACCAACTCCATGACATCGTACTAATTTAATTATATAATTCCAATACATTATTGGAGTTTAAAACATTTTTATAGTGACTTCTAACTGTGTACAGTTTGTATTTGATGTTTATACAGTATGTGACTTTTGTATATATTTTTCTTAGTGACAAACAATATTTTTTTAAGTAGAAATCAATAATTCATTTTAATGTTTGCTGTTTCGTCGTTTTAACACGTCGTTTATTTACAAGGTTTGTTTGTTGAGCATGTCTGTCACAGATCTACATGTGCACATTGTTTTCCGAGTTTACAATATGAAAATGTCGGTATATTTACTTTAGGGGCGTATTTCATAGAAGACCATGGCAGATTCTTAGCTGATCAGATTAGTCTATGAATTTTAGTAAATCGGACAATAAATAAAACTCACCAAGTACCATATTAAAGTTACTTGCACTATTTTGTGTTAAAAATCCAGTTTTCAATAAAAATACTGTAAATTATTATAAAAAGTGATTCAAACTTGAGTAATGCTATGTTTTTTATTAAAATGTATTTTTTTGTACTTTTGATAAATAAAAGCGAAGTGTAATTTTATTTTTATTATTAAATTAGTTTTTTAAGAGTATATATATGATTATAATATTACAAATCACACAAAATCATTTTCAATCATTCATGCTACATGTCAGGGTTTGGCTCTGGCAAGAGATTTGCCGTAGTTGACTTCGTTGTTTGTAAATTTTTGAACAACATTTTCCTATGGACTATATCTAGCATTTGTTTTATGTACTGAATCAGCGTTCTTCTTTTCAGTTTTGGGTAATAAATTATACGCTTTTAATACGCTTATTCCAACAAAATATTGTAAAGTAGTCTGTGAGTTGTTCCTAACATACTTCAAAATGAAAGAATGAATTTTGCGTGTCTATATTCTCACTAAAGATATGCCTTATCAAGAATAGAGTTTTTGGAGTACCAAATGTTTCTGACTAATTCTGGATTGACTCATCGAACAAACCTGTAATATATTTAACTGTGTTTCTTTAGCACTAGAGTGCTATTAAATAATATTTAAAATTATAATAAACACAGGGAATTTTTCTTTAATTAACAAATGTATTTAATAATAATAATCTACATACTTTTTTATATTGTCGATTGTATCCTAAGATCTCTTTTTCAATGTATGAATGGAACTGAATAGATAATAATTTGATTTGAGAGCTTAATTTTTTTATTTTATCCCAAATGTATTAAAGCAGTAACAAGTAAGTAGTAGAGAGCAAAAAAGTAAAGCTAGACTAGTACTAGACTATGCATTATAACAAGAGAACTAAAGATCCTAAGGAGAAACAGAAGCAGATCTTACAGAGATTAATAGAATATGGAAAACATGTTATGGAAGTTCAATACACCAATAAAGAATGCAAATACAGACATGAACGATAAAATATCCAGTACAATGACAAACCAAAAGATTCACAAAAAAAGTTCAAAAAGAAATTAAAAAATCTGAAATGTATAAGATGATATAAGGGTGGAATTAAAAAAATATGGTGGTACTCTAGAAAGAAAATATTTAGACACCCAAGACCTAAAAATCATTTAGAAGGTACCTGTATGGACCTACACCAGGTAGCAACAGCAGTACAGTTTTAAAACACACTAACAAAAGCTGGTGGAGGTAGACAGGACTGCGTACTGAGCCCTATGCTATTAAACATGTAATCTAAGATTGTATTCCAAAACGAACTTTTAGGGTCAGAAAATGGCATAAAAGTGAATGGTAAATTATTAAATAACGTTAAGATATGCCGATGACAGTTATAATGCTGCGATAGGTCAGCTATAGAATCATCATATATCAGCGATAGACAGGTACATTTTGTGAATTACTACATATTTATATACCACACATATAAAGTCGATGAGGGAGATGTTAGCCTAAGTTGAACAGACTTTAAGCCTGGGTATATAGACCAATGTTACGAATACCTTCGACTTTCCACACCAACAATAAATGTGAAGAGAATGAAAGCTTATTGAAATAAAAAGAAAGCCAAATTTCGGACATGTAATGAGAAACAACAGATACGATTTTCTAAAGCTTATAAGCGAGAGTAAGATTGTGCGCAAGCGTGGACCACGATGAAGACAGTGCTCCTGGTTTAAAAACATGCTATATATTACGTATGTTGACTATTCTTTGGCTTTCCATAACTGCTTGACGTTTATTTATTGTTCTAGTTAATAAGCCCGTTTTCTTTATTCAATTTTGAGATCATGCAGTTATGTCCAACCGGTGTTCCAATTTCTTATTTCTATTGTAGGTATTTCATTGCTTCTGTAGCAATCGTATATTGCGGGTTTCGATAGCTTTACAAGTGAAGCATCTATAGGTCTTGAAAATTTGTAATTATAGGTCACTTGTAGTACCTAATTAGCAAGTTTGTAGAAAATTATTTACTACTTTATTATTAACTATTTTGTATATAGATGAACGTGGAATCATGTTAAACCAGAAGTTGCTTGTACCAACACTTTTTTATAGAAGCTGAACTTTTTATGTAGATGTGTAGGTACAAACATACTTCCTCCTCCCTATCCCATCAAGTAACTCGAACACCTTCTTTTTCGTAAAGCCTTTATTCCCTCTTTCCATTTTAATGTGTTAAAAGCATTCCAGGAAGACTTCTTTCTGGAACCGTACTGCCTGGGTGACAACGCCCACCTAATTCTTTAATTACTGTGTTACCATCTTAGAAGCCTCTCGTATAATTTACCTATACACTACAGCAGGCAAACTTCCAATTTACCGGAAATCGCTGAGTTTCAAGCGTTCATCTATGGTAAACAATACAGCTCGTTCAGCTCCGCCTTTCCACTACACTCCATGCCAGTAGCCGGATGAGTACAAGCCCCGTGGAAAAGCTTGTAAGGAACTATAGTAAATATTAAAAGGAATCAGTAAGGTGCAAACTTGAGATTGAAAACCAAATGATACAAGTAATGCAATTTAAATATCTGGGAATAAACTTATCGGTCGACAATAATATTGAAGAGGAAGTAAAGATACAAGTAGCAAAAGCAAGCAGAGAAGTGGGATACCTTAATGACACAATATGGAGAAATTGAAACAAAAGCGCGAATATACACGTCTGTAATCTGACCAATCATGACTTATACTGCAAAAACAAGACCAGACGTAAGCACACGAGACAAGAAGATATTTGAAGACAAATGGAATGAGAATCCTAAGCAAAATAACTGGAAAACACAAGAACAAGGGGTAATGAGATTAGAGATCTATACACAAGATCTATGCATTAATGAATGGGTGCAAGGAATAAAAAGAGAATGGAACAGCTATATTCGTCGAATGGCAGAAAATACAGTACTTAGAATAGTCCGGGATTAGTAGACAATAAGTTAAAGAAAAAGGAAACGCATCCGCAGAAAAGATGGAATGATGATATTCCATTAGGATAGGAGGTAACGTCGAAGAAAATGTGACGATTTGCCTATACAAAAAATAATTTTTTAATGATTGTTTAACTTTTATTAATTAATTTTAACATTACTTTTTTGATTTTATCAAGTTTAATTCCATTTCTAATTTCTACTATTAAAATATTCCATTAATGGAATAAAATAAGATAGCTCCCATGGGATTTCTATCTAGGATTTCACATACCCAAAGCAAGAATCATAAACCTAGACTAGACCATTAATACATCATATTTAGAAAAGAAAAAAGTTACAATTAATTTTTAGGTCAGTATCCTAAATGTTTTTTTTTTCGATTATCTCAGGAACTCACTAATAAAATTAGAGGATATGATCAACTTAAAGTAATTGAGGACTTACATTTGACACATACCTCCACTTTGATTGATAACTAATATCTATATTTATTTTACTATAAGTGTAACATATTTCAGAAAAAAATAGTAGTAATTTAAGAAGTTTCCATGTCATAGACTTGTTTCGGAAACAATAATTGGTTGAAAAATTCCACCAACGCTAAAATATATTTGTATTTGTTGTTTTTTCAGATCTAAAATTCCTTCTTGCTCATATAATAAATATATGCCATCTTTAAGTGTTACTTTTTTAAACGCTTTCTTTAAGACTCATGAGTATTACGTAGACAGTAGAGAAATGACGTAATCTAATTTGATGTCCTATTTCAATAGGATTCGGATTATCAAAAAAAAATTGAAATATGCTATTACAGTTTTTATTTCGTAATACTATAAAATGTGAATATCTTAGACAAAGAATGATAAACTAATTGTTTTCTACAAAACAATTTTGTTTTATACAAAAAATTAAAATGATTTCTAAATGAACTCAATATTTACAACACATATCTTATTTTTTTTATATCACCGGAATCGCTTTTTCATTTTCGTTGACCATATGTTTGTCGTTTTCTATATTTTCGTGTAGAAATGCTGTCGTGTTTTCATCATTTGATATCTCTTCGTTTTCAATATTTTCGTCAACCTCTTCCTCCTCTTCTTCATCTTCTTCAGGCATGGGGCTTAATGTTTCAGAGGTATCTTCGATAATAATTTCAGCGTTATTACCTAAAATGAATGGAAATACAGTTGGCAAAAATTACAAGATTGTGTCTAGAAGCAACCGACAGTTTTTATTTATCAAATGGATGGTCGAATCCCGTATCGTATTCTCGGTACGGCACCGATGACATCAGTAGATGATATGCCAAACAATTTTTAGAAAGTAATATCCCTATTTTAACTAATATTAATATTGCTGACTACCCCAACAGCCTCCATGGTGGTCATGCTTGATTACATATATGGATGGATGAGGTGAAGGTAGGAGCATTAGGAAGGCGGATAAGACGCCAGGAAGCAGGGCAAGAGGACGTCGGGATCAAATTTGAAAAGATAATTAAAATTAATCCAGAGTTGAAAATGATACCAGATGCAATGCAACCTAAATATAATTTCGAAAAGCCGTTTACCGCTCTCTTTCCAGGTAGGGACGAGTGGGAGTCAAAGAAAACGAATCTTATACTAGTAGATCAATGAAGACTGCTCTAAAACTGACGAAGAAGTTGGAGCTGGCGTATACAGAGGGAAACCAAGACTAAGCCTTAATTAAAGCTTCTTCTTCTACTTCTTGGAGATCTTTCGATCTGTTTAATTCTGAAGCTGCATCTGGTTAATTTCCTGGGAGGTAGATTGCCAACTATCCCTCCATCTTTTAGGTGGTCTTCCGGGAGGTCTTGAACTGGGCGGGTTGTTTTCTAGGGCAATTTTTGGAGTCTATTCTCATCCATTCGTCTTACATGATTGTACCACATCCTCTTACGCTGCCTTCCCCATCTTACAATATCTTGAATTTTACACTGCTCTCTAACAGTTGTATTTCTCACCCTGTCTCTTCTTGTTTTGGCCACTATTGTTCTTAGGGTTTTCATTTCGGCAACTCTTAGCATCTGTTTCGTTTTGTTGGTATCTTCGCGCACTTGTATGCCATATGTCATGATCGGACGTATGCAAGTCTTGTAGATTCTAATTTTACTATCCTTAATTAAAGCATAGGTAATAATTCTGAT